TCTGCCAATCCCTCCACTGGCTTCCGATTGCACAACGGATCAAATTCAAAATCCTAACACTGACGTACAAAGCTGTCCACCATACTGCCCCGAACTACATCACTGACCTAATATCCAAGTGCCCATCACGCACACTCCGCTCCTCACAAGACCTCCTTCTCTCTAGTTCCCTGGTCTCCTCCTCCCATGCCCGCCTCCAGGACTTCTCCAGGGTGTCACCCATCCTCTGGAACTCCCTGCCGCAACCCATCAGATTTCATCTACTCTCCTCTCCTTTAGGCGCACCCTGAAAACCCATCTCTTCAGGGAAGCCTACCCCACCCCCTGCTAACCTGCTGACCTCCTCCACTCTTCCTACTACTCCATCCCCCACAGCTATCTCCTCCTGTGCCACCATCCCCCCCCCTCCTAGATTGTAAGCTCGAAAGAGCAGGGCCCTCAATCCCCTCATGTTTTGCATTGTATTGGTATTGTTCTGTCACATGTTCTGTCCCCCTTTGTAATGTACAGCGCTGAGCGAACTATTGGCGCTTTATAAATACTGTATAATAATAATCTGGGGAGGGATGTGTATGGGGAAGGGGGGGAGAAGCAGGGGAGGGGTGAGATGCTGGGGAGGGAGGGGTGTGGGGGGAGAGGGGTGTGTATGGGGGAGGGGGATGAGAGAGAAGCTGAGGAGGGATGCGTATGGGGGGGGGTGAGAATGCTGAGGAGGGATGTGTATGGGGGAGGGGCGAGAAGCTGAGGAGGGATGTGTATGGGGGAGGGGCGAGAAGCTGAGGAGGGATGTGTATGGGGGAGGGGGCGAGAAGCTGAGGAGGGATGTGTATGGGGGGGGGGAGAAAGCTGAGGAGGGATGTGTATGGGGGAGGGGTGAGAAGCTGAGGAGGGATGTGTATGGGGGAGGGGCGAGAAGCTGGGGAGGGATGTGTATGGGGGAGGGGCGAGAAGCTGAGGAGGGATGTGTATGGGGGAGGGGCGAGAAGCTGGGAGGGATGTGTATGGGGGGAGGGGTGAGAAGCTGAGATATAACATGTTTCAGTCCCTACATTCACTCCTCCCTTGATACTATAGCACTGTTATCTCTTGCTGAAGTTAAAGTAGAGCTAGCAGGAGTGTGAGGAGACCTCAATGAAAGTGGCACATGGCAGAGTGGGAGCAATGGGAGGCGGGTACAGGGACCCATGTCACACTGTGGACCCAGCAGCAGCGTGACGAGGCGGTACGGGGGCCCATGGCAGATTGGGGCCTGGCAGCACCTATGGGAGGCCTGTAATCTGCCAGCAACCTATGACAAAATGGAAACCAGCAGGAGTGTGAGGAGACCTCAAAGTGGCACATGGCAGAGTGGGAGCAATGGGAGGCGGCGGTACAGGGACCCATGTCACACTGTGGACCCAGCAGTGCAGCAGCGTGACCAGGCGGTACGGGGGCCCATGGCAGATTACAGGCACATGGCAGAGTGTGGCGATGGAGTCAGCAGCAATGGGAGGCCGTACAGGGACCATGAGAGACTCTGGACCTGGCAGCAGCATGAGGAGGCGGTATAGGGGCCCATGGCAGATTAGGGGCCTGGCAGCAGCTATAGGAGGCCCGTAATCTGCCAGCACCCTATGACAAAAAATGGAAACACACCAGCAGTGTGAGGAGACCTGAAAGTGGCACATGGCAGAGTGTGGCGATGGAGACAGCAGCAATGGGAGGCCGTACAGGGACCCATGACAGACTCTGGACTTGGCAGCAGCATGAGGAGGCGGTATATAGGGGCCCATGGCAGATTAGGGGCCTGGCAGCAGCTATGGGAGGCCCGTAATCTGCCAGCACCCTATGACAAAAAATGGAACACACCAGCAGTGTGAGGAGACCTGAAAGTGGCACATGGCAGAGTGTGGCGATGGAGACAGCAGCAATGGGAGGCCGTACAGGGACCATGAGAGACTCTGGACCTGGCAGCAGCATGAGGAGGCGGTACAGGGGCGCATGACAGATTACGAGCCTGGCAGCAGCAACTTGGACAGGGAGGACGTTCAGCTTCTGCACCGTCGGGTGCGTGCTCGCAAACTGTTGTCTCTTGGAAACGGATTCCAAGAAAGACTGCTGAGGAATCCGTGAAGAGGAGTAGCAGGAGAAGGAGCATCTGAACGAGCGGAATATGCCAACAAGCGACAACAGGGGCCCATGACAGATTACGGGCCTGGCAGCAGCATGAGGAGTCGGTACGGGGGCCCATGGCAGATTAGGGGCCTGGCAGCAGCTATGGGAGGCCCGTAATCTGCCAGCACCCTATGACAAAAAAAATGGAACCCACCAGCAGTGTGAGGAGACCTGAAAGTGGCACATGGCAGAGTGTGGCGATGGAGACAGCAGCAATGGGAGGCCGTACAGGGACCCATGAGAGACTCTGGACCTGGCAGCAGCATGAGGAGGCGGTATAGGGGCCCATGGCAGATTAGGGGCCTGGCAGCAGCTATGGGAGGCCCGTAATCTGCCAGCACCCTATGACAAAAAACTGGAACACACCAGCAGTGTGAGGAGACCTGAAAGTGGATGGCAGAGTGTGGCGATGGAGACAGACAGCAGCAATGGGAGGCCGTACAGGGGACCCAAATGGAGAGACTCTGGACTTGGCAGCAGCATGAGGGAGGCGGTTAGGGGCCCATGGCAGATTAGGGGCTGGCAGCAGGTATGGAAGGCCCGTATATCTGCCAGCACCCTATGACAAAAAAATGGAACACAACCAGCAGTGTGTGGAGACACTGAAAGTGGGCACATGTTTGGGGCATGATTCATGGCGGATTTAGTCAGTTGTGTCAGGAACAATGGTGGTTTGAAATCCAGACTAATCCACGCCTGATTCATTTTCACAAACGTGAGTCTCTCCACCACTTTGGGGTGGACAGTCGTGTCCTCCGCGGAGTTGCAATACCTCCTGCCGCACATAAACACGCGCATATAACGGTTGCCACGCTAGCTGGCCCGGGCATCCTCAGCGACAGCCTTTAAGGGCAGCAAATTCAGCTACGTTGGGGCCAAAGGTCAAGTTTCGTTTGCCCAGTAGTCAAGGGGATTGTCCTACCTCGGTTGGCAGGGGTGATGTCCAAGTAGGCCTAAGCCTGTTGTTTGAGGTCCTGCTCCAGGTCCACCTGTGCTGCGCTGAGATGCTGCGGCGGTTACGAGTTAGTTTCCTCCACTGCGCTGGTGAAGAAAGCTACTTGTTCATCGACTGCAGACTGAGGCAGCCGTCGTGCATGGTGGAGCTGCCACTGGCTCCTACCCCTTCCCCTGCTGCATGCAGCGTAGCAAGCGAGGTGTGGCACCACAGTTGGGCCCACAGTGTCTGGAGGATGGACGTTGGCGCAGACAGGCAGAGACCCAGCTGACTACTTAAGGGTGGTTTTTATTGTAGGTTATTTTGGCCTCCTCTCAGCAGGTGTGAATAAAGGCCACCATTTTGGGAATCGGTAGCGAGGGGTCCAACAAGGACTCGACAGCCAAAAGTCATGACTCTTATCTGATTTTTGATTATTCAGCTGTCGGTACGTCAAGCAAAGCGAGCATGCTGATCGGGCCAAGATTTGTGCCTAGGAATGCGAGGGACTCCCTGCCTCCTATTCTCGCAGCATAGCTGCCCGGTGCGGTCTGGGTCCTTCGGTCTCTCTTCAGTCCTACCTCTACCAGATGCGTCCTGCTCCTCCACTCCTGTTGCTGAGTGGAATAAACCACCCATTTCACTCAATAATTCCTGAGCACCAATGTCCTCCTTCTACTCTCCTCTTCCTGTCTGCCCCCACAGCTATTAGGTCATGTGGCTTTGATAGGCCTGTGGCAGTACGTTACCGCCATAGTTCAGCTATAGGCCGCACCCTGACCAGCACCCCTATTAACAAATTTGTTCCAGGACGAGCAACCAGTGTGAATGACGTCGTTCTGAAAGTGGCCATGCCGAGTGTGGTCGATAGAATAGCGTGGAAGGCCTCCTCAGGGAATGAGGGCCTGGACTTGCAAGCAGCAGGGTGTCACGGTATGAGGGGCCAATGGCAGATTAGGGGTTACAGCAGGGAGTACCTTAATCTGCCAGCAACCCTATGTCAAAACATCAGGAAATCGTTTAGTGATGGCCTTTTGCTGTTTCGTAAAGGCGGTTCTAACAGCAGACAATGTAGAGGCCGTACAGGGACACCTTGTTTCCTGGAACGGCAGCAGCATGAGGAGTCGGTACGGGGGGCCCATGGCAGATTTAGGGGCCTGGCAGCAGCATCAGCTATGGGAGGCCCGTAATCTGCCAAGCACCCTATGTCAAAAAATTCAACACACCCAGCAGTGTGTGTGAGGAGACCTGAAAGTGGCACATGGCAGAGTGTGGCGATGGAGACAGCAGCAATGGGAGGCCGTACAGGAACCCATGAGAGACTCTGGACCTGGCAGCAGCATGAGGAGGCGGTATATAGGGGCCCATGGCAGATTAGGGGCCTGGCAGCAGCTATGGGAGGCCCGTAATCTGCCAGCACCCTATGTCAAAAATTTCAACACACCAGCAGTGTGTGAGGAGACCTGAAGTGGCACCATGGCAGAGAGACTGTGGCGATGGAAGACAGCAGCAATGGGAGGCCGTTACAGGAACCCATGAGAGATAGAGATCTGGACCTGGCAGCAGCTGTGAGGGGAGGCGGTATATAGGGGCCCATGGCAGATTAGGGGCCTGGCAGCAGCTATGGGAGGCCCGTAATCTGCCTTCAGCACCTATGTCAAAAAATTTCAACACACAGTAGTGTGTGAGGAGACATGAAAGGGCACATGGCAGAGTGTGGCGATGAGACAGCGGCAATGGGACCCCGTACTTGGCAGGGGGACCCCGTTAGCAGAGCAGCATGACCAGCTGTGTGAGGACAAGCGGCATGTGAGATGGTGAGCTGCTAATGGTATATCTAGGGGCCCATGGCAGATTAGGGGCCTGGCAGCAGAATATGGGAGGGGCCCGTAATCTGCCAGCACCCTGTGTCCAAAAAATTCAACACACCAGCAGTGTGTGAGGAGACCTGAAAGTGGCACATGGCAGAGTGTGGCGATAGGAGACAGCAGCAATGGGAGGCCGTACAGGGGACCCATGACAGACATCTGGACCTGTGGCAGCAGCATGGGATGAGGCGGTATAAGGGGCCCTATGGCAGATTAGAGGGCCTGGCAGCAGCAATGGGATGCCCGTAATCTGCCAGCACCCTATGACAAAATGGAACCCTGGGCTGGGGCAGGCAGAACCGCCGTTTCTTTATCACGGTTTTCCCAGGCCACCGCAATTGCGCGTACGCCTGGCAATATTGCTGATGTCTACGCTTGTAGTCCCATACTTGGGCCCCAACTTGGCCTCGCTTTGGACTTTTTCTGGCAACATAGGTCGTCTGTTACGGGCGTACGGGTACTTCCTCGGGGGCGGCTTGTGGACGAAAAAATTGCCCAACCCGCCGAGTTAGGAAACTTTGCCCCTCCGCTACTCTCACTGGCTGATGCTTACTTCCTCCGGTGCGCACCGCACCACTATGCCGTGGTGTAGGCTGAGAAAAAGGGGGGCCCCGAATTTTTTCCAGCACCCTATGAAAAAAAAATTGGAACACACCAGCGTGTGGGGAGCCCTGAAAAAAAGGGGGCCACATAGCGAGGTGGCAAATGGGGGGGAACAGCAGCAGTGGGGGGGCCCTTTACAGGGCCCCATGACAGACTCGGGCCCTTGGCGCGGGCCATGAGGGGGGGGTATATGGGGGCCCCCTGGCAGATTGGGGGCCCGGGCCCGGGCAGTTTATGGGGGGCCCCCTTTAATTGCCAGACCCTATGTAAAAAAATTAAAACCACCAGCATTTGGGGAGGGGGACCTAAAAAAGTGGCACATGGCAAAAGATTGTGGCGATGGGGGACAGCAGAAAGGGGGAGGGCTTTCAGGGCCCCAAAATTGAGGATTCTGGACCGGGCCCGGGCAGCATGAGGAGGCGGTTTTTTGGGGGGGCCCATGGCAGTTTTGGGGCCTGGCGAAAGCTATGGGGGGCCTTTTAATCTCCCAAAGCCCCCTATGTCAAAAAATTAACACCCCCACCCAGTGTGTGAGGAGACCGAAAGTGGCACAGGGGCGGGAGTGTGGCGATGGAGCAGCGGGGAAGGGGAGGCCCTTTACGGGGAAACCCTTGACAGCTCTGAACCGGGGCGGGCAGCGGGAGGAGGGGGGGAAAGGGGGGGCCCATGGCAGTTTTGGGGGGCCCTGGGCCCCTTCTATGGGGGCCCCGGGAATCCCCAGCCCCTATGTAAAAAAATTCAACCACCGGGCAGTTTTTGTGAGGGCCCTGAAAGTGGCATTTGGGCCCCAAGAGTGTGGCGTGGAAAAAACCCCACCGACTTTTTTGCTCGCTGCAAGCTGCCACCCTTTTCCCCTGATGATGCGGAAGCATTGCTGATGACGACGAGGGCTGCCAAGGGGCGATCCCGGGCCCCCATCATCTTTAAATTTTTGGGTTTTCCGCCTCCATATGCCCCCTCGGCTGGTGTGGGTCAGGAGACAGACCTGTCTCTAGGGCCGGCTACCGAGCCACTCTCCCCGCCCACTACTTTTTCGCCTGGTGCTGAAGGGGGCGGGGTAGGGCTCCCCCCGTTCCTGCCGCCCCTGTTTGCTCTTCCTAAATGGTTTTTTTGGAGACACCCGGGGCAATACCCCTGGCTGCAAATAGTTTCTGCCCCGGGCCCTTCCTCTGCTGCCGTCTTTCTCGCTCCTAAAAACATTGCCCCCTCTGCCACTCCTCGGGTTTTTGTCTGACCCTTTCTCTTTAATTAAACAATTCTGTGTCCCTGAGTAACAATTCCCGTGTCCCGGGGAAAGTTTTTGTGTCCCCGAGTAACAGTTCTGTGTCCCCGAGTAACAGTTCTGGGGTCCCTGGTAAAAATTTTTGTGTCCCTGAGTAAAAATTCGGGGTCCCTCAGTAAAAAATTCTGTGTCCCTCAGTTTAAAATTTCTGTGGCCCTCAGTAAAATTTCCGTGGGCCCTCAGTAACAAATTTTGTCGGGCCCTGAGTAAGTTTATGTTTTCTGTCCCTGGTAACAATTCTGTGTCCCTTTAGTAAAAATTCCTGTGTCCCCCCAGTTAAAAATTCTGTGTCCCTCGAACAATTCTGTGTCCCTCAGTAACAATTTGGGGGCCCCCTCATTTAAAAATTCCCTGTGTCCCCTCAGTAACAATTCTGGTGCCCCTCTTTTAAACAATTATGTGTCTGCCCTTTGACAAACAATTCTGGGGGGCCCCTTAAAAAACTTTTTCTGGGGGCCCTCAGTAAAAAATTCTGGTCCTAAAGTAACGTTTCTGGGGCCCTGAGAAACGTTTCTGGGGCCTGAGAAACAATTCTGGGGCCCCTAAGTAACAATTTTTTTGGGGCCCCTCAGTAACAATTCGTGTCTGCCCCTTCAGAAACAATTCTGGGCCCAAAAGTAACGGTTCTGGGGGCCCTCAGTAAAAATTTCTGTGCCCCCATAGTAACAATTCTGTGTCTGTCCCTGAGAAAACAATTCTGGGGCCCCTTAGAAACGTTTTTTGTGGTCCTCGTAACAATTCTGTGTCCCTGGGTAACGTTTTTTGGGGCCCCCTTTTAAGTAAAAATTTTTGTGGCCCTCATTTAAAAATTTTCTGGTCTGCCCCCTGAGTAACAATTCTTTTGGCCCCTAAGAAATGGTTCTGGGGCCCTCAAAAAAAAATTTCTGTGGCCCTAATTTAACATTTTTGGGGGCCCCCCAGTAACAATTCTGTGTCCCTCGTTAAAAATTTCTGTGTCTGTCCTGAGTAACAATTCTGTGGCCCTAAGAAACGGTTCTGTGGCCCTCAGTAAAAATTTTCTTTTGCCCCTCAGTAAAAATTCTGTGCCCCTGATTTAACAATTCGGGTGTCTGCCCCTGAGTAAATTCGGGCCCTTTAAGAAAACGGTTCTGTGGCCCCCCCAGAAAAACATTTCTGTGTCCCTGAGTAAAAATTTTCTGTCCCCCTAAGTAACGGTTCTGTGGCCCTCAGAAAACCCCAATTCGGGTGCCCCTGAGAAAACAATTTGTGCCCGGGTTCTGCTAGTAAAAAATTTTCTGGGGCCCCTTAAGAAACGGTTCTGGGGCCCTCGTAAAAATTTCTGTGTCCGGGAGAAAACAATTCTGTGTTGTCCCTAAAGTAAAAAATTCTTGTGGCCCTAAGTAAGGTTCTGGGGGCCCTCAGTAAAAAATTCTGTTTTCCCTCATTTAAAAATTCTGTTTTTTTTTCTGCCCCTGATTTTAACAATTCTGGGGCCCCTTTAAGAAAACGGTTCTGGGGCCCCCCAGAAAAACAATTCTGTGTCCTGAGTAACTTTTTTTTGTGGCCCTAAGAAACCCAATTCTGTGGCCCTCAGAAAACAATTCTGTGTCGGGCCCTGAGTAACAATTTTTTTGGGGCCCCTAGGGAAGGTTCTGTGGCCCTCATTTAACAATTTTTGTTTTCCCTGGAAACGTTTCTGGGGCCCCTAATTTTAACAGTTCTGTGGCCCTCATTTACAATTCTGTGTCCC